TTATTTAAGTCTAACGTGTAATTTTGACAAAGTTAAGAGCTAGGCGGATCCTAACGTCTTAACCGCAGTAAACCGCAATTAGAAATTTTGAGTAGAGACTTGATAACGTGATCACCCTGAGTTGAAGAATTCCACGGTGACAATAGTTATCAAATTCACAATTTATAAACAAAATTTTCTTAAATACTAAACTTATCATTAAAAGACGCTTTGCTATTTGATATTAAACTTTCACAAATAATCGCTTTAAAAAAATATATATATTTATAGTATAAACACATAGTACTAACTTATCTAAATATGATATATTAATATTTAATACAATTTTTCATTAACAGTAGTATTTCATAATCTAATTTTTCCATCTTTCTTAAATTGAACTTTAAACGTACATAGATTACTATCCTTTTTGGCATAAATCTTAATTCTCAAAATAGCGAATTTTCCTATTCTAAATTATACTTATATTTTTGTTTATACAGTATAATTCAAATTTTATGAAAAAATACTAATCTGCAATATTATTAGCATATTAGTTAAGCAAATTATACCATACTAGTTTTTTATCTACTCTCATTATCTTGATTTTTTAATTCTTGATTATAATACACTTGATTATCTTGCTTTTGGTCAAATCAGATTTTTTATTATTATTAGTAGAAAGTAATTCAAGTAAAATATTGAGCTGATTATAATAGTTAGTAGGTTTAAAAGAAAAAACAAAATTAAAATTTACTGTTAAAAAAATTCATATGAAACAAATATTAACTTATTTAAAACACTTCTTTTATAGCAAATTTGAACAGTAATTATTAAATTATTCAATACCTTATTATTGAATTTTTTAATAGGTCACAATTCTTTTATAGGAAAATCTGTTAGATATACATGCTTAAATCTGAATATGATATGAATTTTTAATAATAAATAATCAAAACATATATTTCCTTTAAAAAAATTTATATTAAATATCTAATATATATTTTAGCTTCTTTGTCAAGTAAATAGATGGTATTCAATATTTTTAAAAAAGTGATCTCAATTGGTTTGATATTTAATTTACAGATACTAATGTTTTATTGAAAATATGTTATCATTATAAAGTATAATTATATTCTTAAAACAAACTCATATTTCTGAAATAATTAAATATAAGTTTGAATAAAAGTTCTTTAAAGCTCCTTTTTTATTAATAATTAAAATCATTTCCTTTTAGTAAATTAGTTTAAGGAATGTAACTTTACCAGTAATATTATAGTAATATGAACTAAGTTAGAAGTTTTGTTATTTTAATTTTATAATTTTCATGTAGTAGTTCTATCAAATGGTAGATTTAGATGCTTTAATCATTTACAATAGTATAAAAATTTTGTTTAAACTATAAAAGCTTTAATTAGTTATAAATATAAATATATTATTTAATTTAAACAGTTAAAAATTAAATATGTTTTTATATCACAAGTACTTTAATATACAAATTCTTAACTTATATCATTGCTTCTTTAATAATTCTATAAAAATCATTAATAACTATTATATACTTTATATTTTTAATTTATATTTAAATAATTTATATAATAAAAATAACAGAATTAAGAAGAAAAAAACCTATTAAAGAATTTGTCTTCAGAAAGATAATTCTTGTAATTATTTTACTTCTTGCTAAACTTTTATGTTCAATTTTTTGCTTTGTTTATTATTAAGATACTTTTCAGGTTTTTTCAATCTTTGGATTTTTGTTTTTTACATACTTTATTTTGTTTCTTTAATATGCTATTAGTAAATAAATTTTATTATTTAATAGCTTATTCAATTTCTTTATACAATTCTCATATTTCAATTTGCTAAAATATAATTTAATCAAGTAATAAAAGTTTAACATAAATATAAATCACATACTACAAAAAGTTAAAATAATTAATATTGTAACAGGACTATCATAATGTAATTGATCTACATAATGCATTATAAATAGTTAGTTACATAAGTGACGTAATTAACAGGATTGACTTAATAGATATATTTAATTTATGTAATACAAGAAAATGTAGATCCAAATGTTAAACATATCAAACATATCTGATATATTTGACATATTTAATATATTTGACAAATCTGATATATTTGATATATCAGACATACCTAACATATATGATATATTAGATTTACATTAAAAAAGTATATAAAGGAGACTAAATTCTTAACAAGAAAGTAACTATCAATTGCTAGATGCAATCTGATCAGTTCAGCGATAACTATATATAACCCTTTTTATAAAATAATATAAGGCTACTCTTTTCTATTTTTGATTAATTCTTTTTTTGTATTCCCTTAGTTTAGTATTTATAGCTTTTAGTTTATTTATTTACCAATAAATCTTTATTCAATTTATTTGAAATATTTTGTGTCACTTGTATTTGTAATGCAATTTATGTTTAATTTTGATTTAATATATGAAAATATACTCAATAGTATATTAAATACATTGGGCAGTATATAGTGGATGAATCATACATTTATTATAGGTTTGAATATATTTTTCAATATATAACAAAACTTAACCAACCAAAGTGTAAATATACTTTGCAGTATATAAAGAACTATTAACTTATTGAAACAACTATTAGATTACTATATAAACTTAAAAGAATTAATACTTTAACACTCTGTCTAATAGTCGTAGTTTACAAAAATTACACATTAACAATATTTATAGCTTCTTACTCTTATGAAGCATATATATATTAGTTATTATTTCGATTTTTTGATTTTTCAATATATTGTAAATTACTCTTTTTTTTTTAAGAATATTAACTATATGAATCTTCATAGAAATTTCAAAAATTTAAAGAAAATTTAATATAATTCCAATATAAACTTGAGAACTATCCAAAAATAATTGTCATTAATTTTTTATTACTAGCTAAATCTTATTAAATATTCATTTTTCTTCAGAATAATTTATAAATTTATCTGTTCTTTTTTCAGTTTTTTACTATCTTCATTTTTATACATTCTTCTCTTTATAATTTGATGAATTATTTTGAGTTTGAAGGTTACAATAACTGTTTACTATAATGAATACAATTTATTAAAGAATAAAAAATTTTTTTAAATTTTACAAAAGATCTTAAAAAATATCATAATCACAAAAAATTAATTTTTTTAATTCTACTAAATTGGATTTAATAATTTACCGCTATAGCGAAATACCGCATCCTATCACGTGATTTGATGGTAAATTTTGATTGGTCGAATTTTTATATTGTTAAATATATTAGTTTTTTTCTTGAGAACATTTTTTTTAAAAAAAAAATTTTAAACTAAACATCAACTAGAACTTTATATTGCAAACTACCTCTTACTGTAAAAGCCCGAAGACCTGTTCCTGGATTGAATAAATTGAAAAATAGAAGGCGGAGGGTGGTGAGTATCAATTTTTTTAAAAAAAACTTTGAAATCAAAGAAGAGTAAAGAATACCTTCCTATCATAAAAGCCCAGAGACCTGTTTCTGGATTGAATAGATTGAAAGATGGAAGATGGAAGCGGTGAGTATTCAATTTTTTTAAAAAAAAATTGAAATCAAAGAAAAGCAAAGAAACTAACTTACCTTCCTATTGTATAAGTCCAGTTTAAATACCATACTAAAGACTGGAACAAATTTTGTTGAATATAACTTATTTTATTTTAATTATTATTTAGGTATAATTTATTAATGTAGTTTGATTTATTATATTTAAATAATTTGTTATTTAAATCTTATTAATTAATTTTGTATGATTTGTTTAAGAGATTTGATTAGTTAGTTGTTAAAGAATTGAAAATATATAAGTGGTCAGAATTTAAATATTATGTAAAGCAGCTCTTGATTTAAGAGTTCACAAAACGATAATAAATATAAAGTATCTTTAATTTAAGATACCTTTATCCAAAACTTATACCTTCGCATTTTATCATTATTATTTTACATTGTTCATTATAGCAGATTCGTCGGCTGAGACAGTTATATCAATAATAATTAAAAATCATTGCAGAAGTGCTAACGGAGACAGCAATATTATATTTATTGATTGATAACGAAGAGTAAAATTAACCTTTCCTTAACAAGAATCCAAGAGGTTAACAGTACAATGAGTAATATATAATGCAATATAATTACTATTTATTAAATAACCATATATACAATGAGTAATACGCAATACCAATACTATTATGCCCTAATTACATAAGCATTTCGATTTTACATATAAACCAACCCCAGCCTATATCAATATATTTTAACGATCATGATTTGTCACTTTGCAATTCTTCTGGTAATGATCAACGTTTCCACAATTTTTGCACCGACGTTGGTTCTTTGCTATGGGTTTAGAATCTTCATAGGAAGATTTAAACCGTTTGATACCTAATGGTCGACCCTTGCCTTAACGCTTTTTTGAATTTTATAATGTAACCATCGCAGGATCTTTGTTTTCTTTATCACTGGTATTATTATCTTGTAAAACTTCTTTCGGGTCTGATAAGTCATTGCTATCTTCTTCTTTAGCGAATTCTTGGAGTAGTTCAATAAGCTGTTGCATTTTATGATTATTCTGTAATGCTTTCTGTAATGCCTTTTTATATATCCTATGCAATTTGCCATATATTAACTTTTGTTCAAGAACTCCTAATCTTTCTTCATAAATATTCTTTCCGGTTTGATCAAAATTGCTCAAAAATAACACCGATCCATTATGACTGGATGTTATATTTTCATTTTCTTGCAAAAATTTGTCAGCAACCAAAAAAAGCTCCTTTGATCTATCTAATTCTTTACTATAATACCATCGTGATGGTATAAGTCAAATGTGAAATAACGCTGTTTTTGTAGTTAGCATTACCTGAAAGTAATGCCTGCATACAACTCCATTTCGTATAATTGAAAGACATGAACAAATATATCTATGATTTTGTAGTAACATAACATAGTGTTTGATTTGTAACGAATTTCTAACGTTAACTGACCATATTTCTGTAATATTATGGTATCCAACGAATTTAATCATCTGTTCTAAGGTAACTTGTAATAGATCGATGGCCTCTGCTTTATTTGAGACTTCATTTGGAAATTTCTATTATATTTTAGATAAGTATGATATATAACTTGCAAATAGAAAACTAAAAAAAAACTATATACTTCATTGGCTTCTTCTTGATTTACTAAATTTGCTATATAATATAGTGACTGGTTTATCTCATCACGATGCATTTTTAACATTGTAGGTCCAAGGAATTGTTGAAGGCATTGATCAACTTTAGTAAACAGAAAGTTCACTTTTTCCTGATTTTTGATAGATGGAATTGATAATTGCCAAAAATTATATTCATTTTCTTTGTCATGTCTATCAAGAAGCACGTGAATTTCTTTTACAAGGTCACATATGGTTATGTTTGAGTTATATAGTAACCTTTTTAAGCATGCGTTCATGGATTCTATCTGAGAGGTAGCTATTATACCTCCTGTAAATTTAAAAGCGATATAACAATGTGCCCAAGATGTTTTTGTCTTATAAAGGAATTCCAAGTAATTTTTTGAATTAGGATGATCGATTATAAGATTATTAAAATGTTGTTGAAAGATTTCTTTGATAATACTATTATGGCATTTATAGAATTCATTGAGAAACCTTTGATAATCTTCTCCTAAGGCCTTTCTAAGATTTTTGTGTAAGTTTTGAGTTATATGAAAAGCACAATATATATGATATGTAGATTAAAAGACTTGATTGATAGCATCATCAACAGCTGGATCTGCATCAATAAGTATTACACTTGGTTGAATATTTGTTGCTTAAATTATTTGAAGTAACATCCATTTATGAGATTCAAAGCTTTCATTCACAAGAAGTGCTTGGGCAAGCAAAATATTGTGACGATCATTATCAAATCTAACAAATAATGATAATGCCATACCATATCTGTTAGTTTTATGTGTAATGTCATTAAGTACACAATCAGAATATTTGATCCAATTCTCAACTTGTGCTAGTGTCATCCAAAATAAATGGGTTAAGCTATTATCGCTATCCCATCCTTTAGCAATTACCCAACGCGAATCCTTTATTTTTGTAAGTCAAGCCAATCTGAAACTTTTGCAGCATCATTTGATAATGATTTTTTAGTAGGTTGAAACTTTTGTATGACAGTATAAAGATCTCTTGAATATATTGGATGGGAAGGATATTTTCCTTCAAGAAACTTTATTTGTGCTGTTGCACTGAATTTGCAATATATTGTCATAAATTTCACGTCCTCTATCATTGCATTGGTAAATTTTTTACTATCCTCAAATTCAA